AATAAGAAAACAGGCGAGAAAGTGAAACTTATATCATGGAAAACTGTATCTGACCCAGCCTATGGATAATTTTCTTGCAGTCTTGAACCTCGTAATAATGTCACTGAATTATTCGTATGGAAAGGAAATCATCCTTATTGGCGCAGTGGTCCTTGGAATGGTACAAAGTTTCCTGGGGTATCTCAGAGTTCATCTATGTCCTTGAATGAGTTCAAGATGAAAGGTGCTGAGGAAGGCAATTTTGGCTTGTATTTTCATTACTCAGACAACGCAGTATTGGTAACTCTTAGGTTAAGTTATCAAGGTAAAATAAGAATACAACGTTGGAATTCCCAGTCATATATATGGGAGATTGAGTGGCTAAACGTGAATTCCAATTGTGATATTTATGGCCAATGTGGCCCATTTGGGATCTGCAACCAGTCAAGCTCGCCAATATGCAGCTGCTTGGGAGGGTTTGAACCCAAGAACAAAGAAGAATGGGGAAGACAGAACTGGACCAGTGGGTGTGTGAGAAGAGAAACACTTCACTGTGAGAGAGACAAAAATGGTTCTCAAGCTGGAAAAATAGATGAGTTTATTAAGCTAGAGAGGGTAAAATTGCCTGATCATGCACAAGTGTTACCTTTTGATGACTTTAAGGATAATAATGGAGATTGTCAAACTCAGTGCCTGAAGAATTGCTCTTGTTTAGCTTATGCTTATGATAGAAGCATTGGCTGCATGGTTTGGAATGTAGATTTACATGACATACGAAACATGTCAGCTGGAAGGGTTGATTTATACGTACGTTTGGCCCACTCAGAGAAAGGTATATATTAATTTATTTTATATCCAACATGTATTTGACATCCAAATAGGATTTGGAACAAAGCTTCAAATTTAGTTTAAGCATTATAGAATTTGTCTCATGACTTTTACATATCCTGTTTTGTTAAATGTTCATGCGAACGTTAGTACTCCTTAGCTTATGCAATTTAATTATATATATCGTTATATTAGGATCTTCAATGCAATTATAACAAGTGGGGTCATTTTTCTTTCAAGGAATCAGCTAGCGTGTGTGAGTTATTTTCAGAAAATGAAGATAATATTCTGAACTTTCTTCTAAATTTTTTTGATACAGGTATAGGCAAGAGAAAAACGAGAACACCTACCATAACATCAACTCTAATTGGAATAATTCTCCTTACTGCCTCTGGGTATTTCATATGGAAAAAATGGTCAAGCAAAAAGGTGATGTTCTGATTTACTGCAAGAGTTCATTCTGGGGAAATTTTTTTTATTGTTTAGTTTGTGCTTGATATAAATAAAAGAAACAAAGGTGCATAGTGAGAGAAAAAGCAACAAGTGAGTGAAAAAGTAATTCTATCACAACATTCAAAGATTTTGTTAGGGTAAAAATTATTATTTGCGCTTTTAACTTTTTCAAATGAATAAATTAGAATAGCAACAATATATGCTTTTCAAATTAAGAAATTAAATGGAAAATGGTGTTGTAAATACAGGGGAAATGCACATGCAAATTCAAAACAAGAGAAGGATGAAGCAAGTCAAAATTCAAGGGCTACCATTAATTGATTTTTAGAAAGTTAGCAACTGCAACAAACAACTTTGACTTGTCAAATAAACTTGGGCAGGGTGGTTTTGGTCCAGTTTATAAGGTGATTATCTTTTTATTTTCTATTTCTTTCTTTATCCTTACAGCTTATCATCTTCAAAGTCATAATACATTAATATTTAATAATTGTGTTATCATTTAAGGGAAAATTAAGAGATGGACAAGAAATAGCAGTGAAAAGACTATCAAAATTGTCTGGGCAAGGTATGGAAGAATTTATGAATGAAGTAGAATTGATTTCTAAGCTTCAACATCGAAACCTTGTCAAACTTCTTCTTGGCTGTTGTATAGAAAGAGATGAGGGGATATTGGTTTATGAATACATGCCAAACAAAAGTTTGGATGCATATATATTTGGTTAGTACACATATTCTTTCTTTCATTTTTGTTTTCGTTTGGGATAGTTTAAATTGGATGTTTCTACAATTCAACAAAAGGAAGGGAGGAGAAAAAGGACAACGTTATAGGTGTTTATGAATATTTATAGAAATATAATAATTTTGTAGTTCTAATTTTACTTGATGTCAATAATAGGTCAGCTTAAAACACCAAAAAAATAATACATTTATAACCATTTAGAGGCATATTGTTTGGAGTGAAGACAGTTCTTTTGACCTTTTTTCATTCTTTTGATAACTTTTTCCAAAATAATATTTTGCAGATCCATTGCAACAAAAATCTTTAGATTGGGGAAAGCGCTTCAATATCATTGAGTGAATAGCTAGAGGATTGCTCTATCTTCATAGAGATTCAAGATTAAGAATTATACATAGATATTTAAAGGCAAGTAACATATTATTGGATGAACAGATGAATTCAAAGATATTAAATTTTGGAATAGCTAAATTTTTTAGAGGTGGTGAAGATCAAGCAAGCACAAGAAAAATTGTTGGTACATAGTAGGTGCTCCTTTTCCTTTGTCCGATGTAATAATGTTAGTAGTCTATTCAGAGCTAAAAAATATAATGTTTGAATGCAGTGATTATATTCCTCCAAAATATGCAAATGAAGGGCTTTATTCATAAAAATCTGATGTTTTTAGCTTTGGTATTTTGCTACTAGAGATTATTAGTGGAAGAAAAAACACTAGCTTTTATGAAGATGCAGAATCCTTGATGCTCTTAGGATTTGTAAGCTTCTCCATAATTTACACCTTCTTTTCTTGCAAAAAGTTCTAAAATGTCTCTATTTGATTGAATATAACATCAGAGTTTGACACATAACCTTTGTTCCAGGCATGGAAATTATGGGTCGATGCCAATATTGTCCCTCTAATAGATCCCCACACATAGGATCCAATCTTTCATAAGGATATATTGAGGTGCATACATATAGGTCTTCTGTGCGTGCAAGAACTTGCAAAAGAGAGGCCCACTATGGCCTTTGTTTTGTCAATGCTTCAAAGTGAGATTGTCGATATTCCTCCGCCAAGCCAACCTGCATTCATTCTCAGGCAGACCTTGTCTCATACTTCAAAGCAAGTTTCACAAAATGGTGACTCATCATGTTCCATCAACAATGTAACTATCTCAAAATTTGAAGGGAGATAGAAAGAGATTTTGTGGTGTTGTGTTTCGTTTGATGAATGATCTAAAATATGTTCATAATTGACATATACTTTGTCTAGATGTTCATCAGGGAAGCTCTAAATATTGTTTCTTCAACAGTTATTAACTTGTTAATTAGTCCTAAACGGTTAAAATGTACACTGTATTTTTATAAATATATGAATGGCTATGCTGATCTTTCCATTAAGGATTTCCGATCCATTGGTCATGGCTTGCATATTTTATGGTGCATATAAAAATCTTGATGGAAGCATAAACGTATTGTATTATTAGATTTGACTTTGCAAAAAGCTCTAAAAGCACTAAAATTATATCATAATAAAAGGGTGATCATTGTAGTTTTCTCTTAAAAATACGTAAAAGTCTTGCTACAACTATAAAATAATAAACAAAATTATAGGCAAAATCAAACTATGCATAAATTGTTACATTTTCACGGTAAAATCTTAAGGTCCTTATTGCAATATACCATGATTCCAATAAAACAATAATAAGCAATAGTGTATATTTTTTTCTAGTGAACAAAGATTAGAAACTTAAGCAATATTATTTAAATCAACCAATAATTAATAAGTAAAGAACATAATAAGGCAACCGGGAAATTTTGGACGATAGAATTAATAAAAATATGTAAGGAATTAAAATACTACAATAAGCTTTCTCCAGTAATAATAATAAAATACTACAATACGCGAAATACTGAAAGTGATGAAATAAGAGAAGAAATGATACAATTAATAAAGCAAGTATTGAGATATCAATATTTCCTAAGTCGCTCAATTAAGGGTTAAAACTTTAGATTTATCTGCTTACCAACAAAGAAAAATAAATAATTAAGGAATGCAATAAATAGGAGTGGAGAAGGAGACTAGTTAGCTCATATGGATGGATTTTTGCCAAACTAAAATTTCTCGAAATAAGGTTATTGGATGGTGGTACACGGGAACTACGATGGAAGTCTTATCAAGCCTTTGTGTTTCATTTTTTTTTTTTTCAATGGCATCAATAATCTTAGTCATAAATCACTTGATTCAGCTAGAAAAATGTATTAAGTAGGAAAAAAATTGTTGATTGCACTTAATTTGTAATTTTCAACACTTAAATATTTTTGTAAAATTAATTCACCATTGTGATAGTCACAGAATAATAAAACTGCTAATGACTCGGTACACACATCAAACTGTGTCAGGATTGACCGGTCAATGAAGTAACATCACCGTGATTTTTTAAATGCAGATTAAGACCCAAGGAAGCAAAGTATGTGCTAGGAGGTTGAAGTCATTAAATTTCACAAACAAGAAGTTTCAAATCTCTATTAAATTAGGTACTCATTTAATGTCTTGTTTTGTCGATAAAAGGACACCTATGAGTGTACGTATTAAAGATAAAAGAAAATAAGTCAACGTTCGTGATCCTTCAAGTCATGGGATTACTATCTATATATTTTTCTCATACCTTTAAGCTCCTGTGTCTGTTTTTAATCAGAGTCTTAGGCACCATTACAGAATCCGTATTCATCAGATTCCAAGCCTGAAATCTCCAACAACAGTACATTCAAACTTCGACTTTTATTTAGAAGAAGATTCTTCAGCCCCCACAATACTGCAGATATCTAAGTAGGAATTTAGCAAGTCTCCAGCTCCAAAGTCATACGGGCGGCTAAACAGAAACCAAACATCACAAAATTCTTTCTCTGCCCATAAGTAATAGTCGTTAGTCTTTCTGGCATGTACATGTATGTGCAAGTGCATGCGCGTGTGAAATACATACATACATAGACAGTGATCATCCCTCATGACATGTATAGGGTGTGATAGAAACACAAATCTAAAATTAGAAGTGTGGGGCCGGTTTACATTAAAGTCTTTCTTTGGCCAAAAAGAAAAGTCGTTGCTCTTCCAGTCTTCCTTAAATGAATATGTCAACCTTCCAGAAAATTGTGAGAGAGAGAGAGAGAGAGAGAGAGAGAGACTTGCAATTACAATTTGGGGCGAAGAGACACAGATAATAACAAGAGTTGCGGACTGATTTACATTGGAGTCTTTAGTCTTTCTCTGGCCAAAAGTGAAAGTCAATGCTCTTTCGTTCCAAAGTGACTGCTTTTCAATCCAAGAAATGCAGGTTTCATTCATGAAAACCTTGTCCAAGCTTTTGGGGAGCTGAGGAAAACGGTTCTGGTCCTTCAAGTCATGGGATTACTGCCTATTTTTCTCATACTGTTAAGCTTCTGTGTAGGTTTGATTACATCCTTCGAATCGATTACATCGTCTGTATTCATCAGAGATTCAGAAACTGTAAGCTCAAACAACAGAGCATTCAAACTTGGATTCTTCAGCCCCAAAAATACAACAGATCGCTATGTAGGAATTTGGTATGTCTCCAATTTCAAAGTCATATGGGCGGCCAACAGAAACCAACCACTGCGGGATTCTTCTGGGATCATTACCATATCTGAGAACAACAATCTTGTACTGTTGAATGGAAAGAAAGAGGTTTTTTGGACATCAAATGTAACAAACAGAGCATCAAGTTCGACCGCCCAACTTCTTAATTCCGGTAACCTTGTGCTGATAGACCACACAGGCAAGACATTATGGGAGAGTTTCCGACATCCAAGTGACACAGACCATTCAAATTTGGTAATTAGTGCACACCAGAAAACAGGTACATCAAGAAAAAATCTTTCTGGAAGAAAATTGGCCTACATCAGCAGAATAAACAAAGTTGGAAAGCAAAGGGTTCAAGAAAACTGTGATACTTACAATTACTGTGGGGCATATGGAATCTGTGACTCCAATAATTCACCAATCTGCAACTGTTTGAGAGGGTTTGAGCCAAGGAATACCAAGGAATGGAATGACCAAAATTGGACTAGTGGGTGCGTGAGGAGAGCGTCACTGCAGTGTGCAAGTAACGGAAGCAAAAACGATTGGTTTCTGGAGCTGCAGATGACAAAAGTTCCCGAACATTCAACAGCATCATTTGTTTCTGAGGACACATGCAGAACTCAATGCATAAATAATTGCAATTGTACAGCATATGCATATGTTTCTTCTCTTTCCTGCATGTACTGGACTGGAAACTTAACGGACATAGTAAGACAGCCTGGTGGAGGAATTAATCTCTACATACGCCAAGCCAATTCAGAACTTGGTAGGTACATTTTAAGTCAATAATTTGATATTTTGATGTTTCTAAATGAGTTTATAATGCTATCAATACAGGTAGGAAGAAGAAAGACGTCAAAGTAGTTATCGCAGTAACAGTGATCATAGGAGTGATTATCGTTACCATCTGTGCTTATATCTTAAAGGCATGGGCTGCTAAGTATTCTGGTACATTTCCCACCTATCTGTTTATTTCCAGAATAATCATGTTCTTTTTACTGGAATAGATCACAGATACGTTGTCTCTCTTAGCCATGGTTTTTGAATAATAGAAATCTATTATCTTAGTCATCATATGAAAAGGAAAATAATATATAATCTTGTTACTGTCTTGATTTCTTTTATTTATTTATTTTGGGGTATTTTGGTTATATGATGGTATTCAGCAAGAAAAAAGGAGAGCAAGGCAAAAATATTGCTGAACAAAGAAGAATACCAACTTGGAGACCTGAAAATTGCTAAACTTGAGAAGCTACCACTGTTTGATTTTAGAATCATCGCAACTGCAACGAACGACTTCAGCATTGCTAATAAGCTTGGAAGGGGTGGTTTTGGCTTAGTGTACAAGGTACCTGAATCTTGTGAAATGGATCTTCTTTCAAATAATTTCTGTGACTCGTTATTTTTCCTTTAATATATATATATATGTATGTATGTATATATGTATATATGTATGCATGTTTATGTATTCCACCAGGGAGAATTACATGATGGGCAGGAAATAGCAGTGAAAAGACTCTCAAAAACTTCTAGACAAGGGCTGGAAGAATTCATGAATGAAGTGATTGTGATTTCAAAGCTTCAACATCGTAATCTTGTAAGACTTCTAGGATGCTGCATTGAAGGAGATGAAAAAATGTTGGTATATGAGTACATGCCTAACAAGAGTTTGGATGCTTTTATATATGGTTAGTCCATCTTCTTTATGTTTAATTATCCATGTCCATATAAGCCTTGCAACTGCAGTAATGTTATCTCTATTATTATATAGTAATCCATTCTTGTGAAAGTAGAGTTTCATGACTGTATTTTTGCTCCCAAAGCAATACGGTTTCAGAGAAACCATGATAGGAATTAGTTTTTTCTCTGAATAAATCAAAATATTGTTGTTGAAGTAAAAATAATTTTCTTCTTATTGTAGAGCAGAAAGTAACCTCTATTTTGTTGTTTATGTAGATCCAGTCAAAAAAAAGGTTTTAGATTGGAAAAACCGCTTGAACATTATCAAAGGAATTGCTCGTGGTTTACTTTATCTCCACAGAGATTCTAGACTAAAAATTATACATAGAGACCTAAAGCCAAGTAATATCTTACTAGATGCACAACTTAATCCTAAAATATCAGACTTCGGTTTGGCAAGAATCTTTGAAAGTAGTGAAGACGAAGGCAATACTCGAAGGGTTGTTGGAACATAGTAAGCTTTCATTTTCCATATACAATTTTAAAATACCATTACTAGAATCATATGAGTTGAACTTTGATACTAAGGATTTAGTACAGCGGTTATATGTCACCTGAATATGCAATGGAAGGGCTATTTTCAGAGAAATCAGATGTTTTTAGCTTTGGAGTTTTGCTATTTGAGATCATCAGTGGTAGGAAAAATACAAGCATTTGTGATCATGAACAATCATTGAACCTCTTGGAACATGTAAGCCTCTCCAAATTAATTAAGGCACAACTTTGATTATTACTATAAGTCTATAAATTGTTGAAAATCTATGCTACTACAAACTCTTGCACTTCCTTTCAGGCATGGAAATTATGGAATGAAGAAAACATTGAATCTCTCATAGACTTGGAAATATCTGATCCAGACCATGTCAATGACATTTTGAGATGCATACACATAGGATTTTTATGTGCTCAAGAACATGCAAGAGATAGGCCTTCTATGACCACCGTAAATTCAATGCTTAACAATCATATTGTTGATCTTCCTCCATCATGTCAGCCCGCATACATACAGAGGAAGGTTGTGACAAGTGCAGAGTCATCTCAACAGAGCAATAGGTCATGCTCTGTTAATAGTGTCACTCTCACAAACATGCAAGGGAGATAAAAGGGATGGCAACAATGACTAAAATAACTATCCTTTGGATACGTGCAAATATTTCACCTATACATACAAAATTGTAATTTGTAAAGTTGAATCTGAGCTATATTCGTCTATAAGAAAAGAAACACAAAAGTGTCAAGCAGTGAATCAAGTTAGAAACTGTTGGGTGACTTTCAAAATAATTTTGTTAGTTCGTTTGTTCAATGTACCTTATTTCTATGCCCGTATGATCTAGTTATGAAAGGTGCTATTAATTAAAAAGAAAAGTTTAGCTGAATTTACTATCTTCTCTATTTTTAAATTCAACCCTAACCTTTCATGACTCTCAAAACATGCATACTTCCATAAAACAAAGAATTAATGGCAAAGGCAATCCTCGAATTTCACAAAAAATTACAATACTCTTCTATTTTTATAGTATATACAAACCTGTCTTGAAAGTCAATGGGAGGTTAAACGTGTTTTACAAGGAGTCGATTGCCATAACTCATGAAGTTGCCATAAGATTACTGAAAATTAGCATTTCACGTGCTATTCTCTCTAAATAAGAAATAGATAAAGTGTCTATTAGAATATGAAAATGGTATCATGCTATTTTAAGGTACTTATCTGATACCACAATGCACCAAATTTTAAGCCATATAAATAACTGCTTCGTTCAAATTGTCATGCCACAAAATTGGAATGCTAGAGGAAAAACTTACGAGATGATGAGGAATCGAACGAGACAGAGAGAATTCTGAATTAGACAGAATTATATTATATTCTTTGTATTTTTCATACTTGACAACAGTACAAGAGGGGCAATATATACACGAAGATAGAAGCAATAAATCAGCAATTCAAACACTATAATCTACCTACATAAATGGCCACAAATATTCTTCATATAAATTCAGTATCTCAAACTGTTAGAAAGAAGCAAAAACAGGAATTTCATTGCAATGGATCGCTATAAAACAGAGATTGCAACACGAAGGTGAAGGAACAAATCACCTCATTACCTTAATGTATCGACAGAAATTCACGATCCAGACCCTCAACGACAAAGAACCACTACTCGAGCTGCTCCGGGCCTCTCGCAACATCGTTTCACTCCGTTTTCCCCTTTTGGTTCCTTTCACGAGAACGCCGAGCTTAACTGCAGGAGTGCGCCTTTGTGGGTCCGGGTCCTCTCCTAATCTTCTTTCTCATTTTCTTCTCCTCATCTCGCTTCCACCATTAAATTATAAATTATAGAATGAATGGTTCAGATTTAATTCTTTCTTTCAAGACATTTAATTTTTTTATAAAAGAATTATCATATAAAAATAAATAAATTTAAATTGTTAAAATTTGATCTGCATGGTTCTCAGTTATTAAATTAAAAATTTTTATAAATTAATTTTTTTATTTATTTTATTGCAATTATACATTGTGCAAGTTAAATTTTAACAATTTAAGATTATTTGTCTTGGTTCAACTAGTTCAAAAAGTTGAATACATTTATTTTGTGATCTCAAAATCATGTTTTGAGATATACAATTATGTTAAATAAATATAGTAAAAATATTGTGGAAATAGTTGTGAGATTCTTATTTAGTGTGTATTTGGTTTTCGGTTTATCAAAAGTTCATTTGGTAAAAATTTATTTGATAAAAGTTAGTTTAATGAAAGTCAGTTATTGTAACGAACTTTGTATTTAGATACATTTTTTCAAAAGTTAGTTTGACACATTAAAAGTTGTTTGGTTTGTGATAATAAAATTTGCTTTTAAATGTACAATTACCAAAAAAGATATTGATTTATGATGATTTATAATTTTTATTATACAAATGTAATATATTTGAAATATTTAAAAAATGTGATAAAGATTTTGAATAACATAAATTTTGATCTATAATGCTAAAAATTTGATCTCTAATTATTTGTATTTTTAGAAAATGTGATAAAGATTTGTAATTTTTATTATACATTAATGCTAAAAATTAACACAATTAATTATTCAATTTATAATGCTAAAAAATTGATACCTAATTATTATTATTATTGATATAATAATTATATTTTTAATGAATTAACTATTTTTTAAATAAAAGAATAAGAGATTATACTTGAGATAATATGGTTAAATAACATTCTATTTTTCAAATTCATTTTTCAAGTTTCAAATAATTATGTTTCAGAAATTCACTTTCAGCTACTGTTTGAATTTACTTTCAGGATGTACTTTCCTACAAAATATTTTACCCAAACAACTTCCAACTTCCTAAAAGTAAAATTTTGCTTTTTGAATATGAAATGAAAGAAAACCAAATGGACCCTACATGGTGTTCTGAAAGATATAGTGTTAGATTATGATCCAAGGTTCACATTAAACTTTTGGAAGGCTTTGAATCAAGCCATGAGGACAAAACTAAAATTTAGTACTACTTACTATCCCCAGAAGGACAGTCAAATCGAGAGAAAGAATCAGACACTAGAAGATATGTTTAGAGCATGTGCTATTGAGTGGATAGGTAGCTAGGATAAGCACCTACTATTAACAGAGTTTGCTTATAACAATAGTTTTCACTTGAGCATTCAGATAGCAAAGCAAGGATGTATAAATGGTTGTGAGATTCTTATTTAGTGTGCATTTAGTTTTCAGTTTATCAAAAGTTCATTTAGTGAAAGTTTATTTGGTAAAAGTCAGTTTAGTAAAAGTCAATTGTTGTAACGAACTTTGTGTTTGAATATATTTTTTCAAAAGTTAGTTTGATACATTGAAAGTTATTTGGTTTGTGATAGTAAAATCTTGTTTTGAATGTACAATTATCAAAAAGGATATTGATTTATGATGATTTATAATTTTTATTATACAAATATAATATATTTAAAATATTTAAAAAATGTGATAAAGATTTTAAATAACATAAATTTTGATCTATAATGCTAAAAATTTAATCTCTAGTTATTTGTATTTTTAAAAATGTAATAAAGATTTGTAATTTTTATTATACATTAATGTTAAAAATTAACACAATTAATTATTCAATTTATAATGCTAAAAAATTGATACATAATTATTATTATTGATATAATAACTATATTTATAATGAATTAACTATTTTTTAAATAAAAGAATAAGAGATTATACTTGAGATAATATAGTCAAATAACATTCTATTTTTTAAATTCACTTTTTAAAAGTTTCAAATAATTACATTTCAGAAATTCACTTTCAGCTACTATTTAAATATACTTTCAGGATGTACTTCCCTACAAAATATTTTATCCAAACAACTTCCAATTTCCTGAAAGTAAAATTTTTCTTTTTGAATGTGAAACAGAAGAAAACCAAACAGACCCTATATTGTGTTCTGAAAGATCTAGTGTTAGACTGTGATTCAAGGTTCACATTAACCTTTTGGAAGGCTTTGAATCAAGCCATAGGGACAAAACTAAAATTTAGTACTGCTTACTATTCCCAGACGGATGGTCAAACCGAGAGAAAGAATTAGACACTAGAAGATATGCTTAGAGTATATGCTATTAAGTGGACAGGTAGCTAGGATAAGCACCTACCATTAATAGGGTTTGCTTATAACAATAGTTTTCACTCGAGCATTCAAATAGCAAAGCAAGGATGTATAAAAGATTAGAGCTTAAAAAGCTAGTGTCATCAAATATAGAGCCTTCTAGCTTGGAATTGAAGCCATTGTCATCCAACTTAAATTATGCATACTTCAAAGAGGGAGAAAAGCTTCTGGTAGTAATTTCTAACTCTTTCTCTTGTGATGAGGAACATGCATTACTAGATGTTATTAGGAAAAAATATTCATGATATTGGTTGGATATTGAGGGACATTTCGGGTATTGATCCACTTGTGTGCACTCATAGGATTTTACTTGATGTTCATGCAAAACCCATTAGGCAACTATAAAGGAGATTGAACCCACTAATTTTTGATGTAGTGAAGAAAGAGGTGGTAAAACTCAGTGTTGGCATTATTTACCCCATTAGTGATAGTGAGTAGGTCTCACCTACTCAAGTGGTTCCTAAGAAGGGTGGGATCATGGTTGTGAAAAATGAGAAGGGGGAATTACTGCCCACTAAAGTTTCAAATGCATGAAGGGTTTCATTGATTATAGGAATCTTAATGATGCCATTAGGAAAGACCATTTCCCTTTGCCATTCATAGATCAAATGCTTGAGAGACTTACTTACAAGTTTCACTATTGTTTTCTTGATGGCTTTAGTGGCTATTTTCAAGTGCCTATTGATCCATTAACCAAGAAAAAACTACATTCACTTGCCCTTTTAGGACATTTGCATATAGAAGAATTCCTTCTAGTTTATGTAATGCCCTGGGATATTTTAAAGGTGCATGATGACCATTTTTAGTGATTTCATTAAACATTGCACCGAGGTTTTAATAGATGACTTCGTGGTTTATTGGTATTCATTTTCATCTTGTTTTTCATCTTTCAAAAGTGTCACTTCATGGTTGATAAGGGCATAGTTTTGGGTCATCTCATATCATCTAAAGGAATTGAGGTTGATAAGGCAAAGATTAAGGTTATTACTTCTCTTCCTTATCCAACTTGCATTAAAGATCTGAGATCATTCCCTGGTCATGTGGAATTTTAAAGGAGATTCATAAAAGGCATTTCAAAAATTGCATGACAAAGCTTTTGCAAAAGGATGTGGCATTTGAGTTTGATCAAAATTGTAAAGATGCATTTGATTGCTTGAAAAACATACTTGTTACACCTCCCATCTTACAAGCTCCTAATTGGTCATTATCTTTTGAATTATCTTGTGATGCTTTTGACATTGCTATAGGTGCTATCTTGGACAAAAGGATGGTAAGCTCTCATGTTATAGCATATGCATCTGGGACACTTGATAGCATACAAGTTAATTACACCACAATTGAAAAGGAATTGCTAGCCATTGTCTTTGCATTTGATAAATTTAGATCTTATTTAATTTTTTCTAAGTACATTGTTTATAGTGATCATTTAAATATCAAGTATTTGATGAAGAAGGCTGGGACTAAGCCAAGGTTGATTAAGTAGGTGATCTTATGCAAGAGTTCAACTTGGAAATTAGGGATAGAAGTGGTTCTACTAATATGGTAGCCGACTATTTATCAAGGCTTTAACATCTTGAGGACTCACTGATAACTTCTAAACTTAACTCTTCTATTTTTGATTCTTTTAGAGATGATGTACTTTGTAATATCTCTACTAAACTACCTTGGTATGTTTGCATGGCTAATTATCTTGAGTGTGGTGTTTTGCCTAGTGATTGGTCTAGGTTTAAATTGAACAGGTTGAGAAGTGAAGCTAAGTATTATGTTTTGGAACCACCTTTCATGTGGTAGATTTGTTGTGATAAAATACTTAGGAAATGTGTTGATGATTGTGATATGTCTTCCATACTTGAATTTTGTCATTCTTATACATGTGGAGGACATTATAGTGCCAAAAAACATCAAGAAAGATTTTAGATTGTGGACTTTATTGGTCATCTTTGTTCAAAGATTCTTTTGAGTTTTGTAAAAATTATTTAAAATGTTAAAAATTCTCAACTTAGAGTAAAAGATATGAAATGCCTCAAATGCTTATTCTCTTTTGTGAAATATTTGATGTTTAGGGTATTGAGTTTATGGGGCCCTTCCCTTCTTCCTTTGGGAACAATTATATCTTATTGTGTGTTGATTATGTTTCCAAGTGGATTGAAGCTATACCTATTCATACTTGTGATGCAAGAATTGTTGTGAAGTTTCTCAAATATTTCATTTTTTATAGGTATGGAGTCCCTGAGGCTTGGTGATGGATCAAGGCTCACATTTTTGCAATAAAAGCGATGAAGGCTCTTTTGGCTAAATACAAGGTCAAGCACAAAAATTCAACACCCTATCACCCCCAAACTAATGGTCAAGTCAAGATCTCCAACAAAGAAGTCAAAGCCATTCTTTTAAAGGTTGTCAACACAAATAGGAAGGATTGGTCCTTGCACCTTGATGATGCACTTTGGGCATATAAGACTGCATTCAAGACACCTTTAGGGATGTCCCCTTTCTGGCTTGTATATGGGAAAGCATGTCATCTACAGGTTGAGCTTAAGCATAAAGCTTATTGGGCAATCAAAAAGCTCAATATGGATGAGGAGCTTATGGCTAAGGAGTGGCTCCTTCAAATTCA